CTTCGACATTACTCACCGATGCAGGACACGGAGGCCGAGAGCCTGGATCAGATCCAGCAGGGGGGACGCAGAGGGCAGAGCGGGGGAAGAACTAAAACCAAACTGGCAACCTCACGAGCAGCTTTTCACCCCGGCCCAGTTTTATTGAGCGGAATAAGCTGGCACGACGTGCCAGTGTGAGCCACCTGCCCCTTCGCCTTGCTCCGTCCACATGGCCCGGATCCTCCTCCAGTGCAAATCCGGGCCATGCCACCAACTTCGGGGAGTAGGCGAAGCAGCACAGGGAGGGTGCGGGAGAGCAGGACTCCCTTCTCCCTCCGCTCCCTGGCTTGGGTAAGTGGTGCTGCCCCCTCCATGGGTGGGTCCGGGGAGAGGGCTGCCCCGCTTCCACTCCGATCTACACTCACTGCTGGTGATGCTGTTCTACGCCAGCTGAGAATCCTGCCCCATGTGTTCCCCATTAGGGGTGTGAGGTTATCAGCCCGTCAGCAGCTCCAAGCACGCTTTGGGGGGCTATGATAAATAACCATAATGAACAGAGCAGTGACAGCCCGCAAGGAAATATTGCTCTCCCGAGCACGAGATTGACATTGTAAAGAGGGGTGGCGGGGGGCGGGAATGAGGCGCAGGTGGGGGGGCTGGCGGGTATTTTTCCTCCTGCCTTAAAAAAAACCCTGTGAAATAAAAGTTATAAATCTAGCGTGTCAGGAAAGGCCCAACAATATGTATCTTTGTTTGGTAACGTCCCTCGCCTAGGAACTGGCCTGGCTCGGGGGTGCACAGGGATGTAATGAAATATGCCCCCCTCAGACCTGAACTGCCGCCCTCCCGACGGCCAGCTCCACCCTCAGGATCATTAAGGGCCTGGCAGCTAGATGGAAACACGGCGCTCCCACCTCGCCGGCCTTGCCCTCCCATGCAGCGAGCCGGGAAGGGCATGACCTGCAACCCGTATTCCAGCAGGGCCTGGGCGCTGGCGGTGTAGGTGGTGCTCATTCCAGAGGACAGTAAGAAGGATTTCCGGAAACCTGACAAGATCTCAAAAGCTGGGCCCAGCCTCAGACCTGCCGAGCACTTTACGGCTTCTCCCAGTGTCAGGAGCCCGGAGTTAGTGGGAGAGGTAAGAAAGGAGCCCAGAATCAGGGCCCACCCGTGTAGATGCAGGCCTAGGCCCAAAGTCACAAAGTGAGTTAGGATTAGCGCTTGTTGTGGAACCCAGGCGTCCCTGGCTCTAACCGTTAGATCTCCAGAGTAGGAGTGGGGCACAAGGTCATGCAGTGAGTCAGTGGCAGAGATGAGAATGGAACCCAGGAGTCCCGACTCTCAGTCCCACCGCTGGAACCACAAGCTGAGGATGATCTGAAATTCTCACATACAGGAGGAGAATGAGCCGGTTAAAGGGCCCACCCATGCTCAATTAACAGGGTGCAGCTGCACTGGTGTTCCTGGGGCAGCTCTGGTGCCATGGCCCATAATCCCTGAGGACGTGGGGCAGGTCCACTCTCCGGGCTGCTAAAGTCACTAGGGAAATAGCTCAGGCTTGAGGTATGGCAGACACCAGCGATGCTTTCTGACTGGCCGCCAGTGATGTCCCTCACAGCCGTGTCGTCAATGGGCACAGGTGCCACTTTCTGACTGGCCACCAGTGATGTCACAGCCACGCCGCTAATACCCAGGAAACGCCTCCCTCTGGTGTCTTTCCCCTTTGCAGATTCCATCTCGTGCCAGGCCTCAGACGCTCCCCGTGATTAGCTGCTCTTCTTGGGTGGTGAAAGCACGTTGGCCCCCGGCCCCGCGCGATGCATATGGTATAATTGCCCGGGAATGCATGGCCCCCAGGGGCTCTCCCCAATCCAACACGCACTTGCTTAATTAGCTGCTGCTTCTCACACCGCGGATAAGAAGCAGCCGGTCGCCCGGCCTCCCCTTTACTGCTGCAGCAGGGGCCGGTGTCTGGCTCTCTGAAGCTGCCTGGGCCTGGCTCTTCTCTGTGCCAGCCCTCATGCTCTTTGCCCACCCAGTCTGTCTGCAGAGGCCTCCGGCCACCTGGCTGGGTGCTGCAGGGTGTGGACCTGCCCTGAGTGGCTGTGGAGCCCCCATAGACAGCTTTCATCAGGGTGTGAGTCCGCCAGGGCCCGGGTGCAGAAGGGAGATGCACTTTCAGGCTGGCTGGGCCATCAAGAGAAGCCCAATGGGCTGCCGGGTCAGGGGACTGAGTCTGGGTCAGGAGCCACCCTCCCTCCGGGGCCCACAGAGCCCGAGACTGTCTAGAGAGGGACACATCCACGGGCCAGGCCCTCCGCCAGTGCAACCCAGCCCGTCCCTGTCTCCTTGGGGGCCGGAGACTAGTGCCCATGTCGCACAAATCGCCTTCATAACCACAATGGGCACTGACCGGCCCCCTCCACGGCACCCCCAACAGGAGGCAAAGCGCTGGATGGGCTGCAGCGCCGGGGCGACCCACCTGTGCTCCTAGGGCCTGCATGGAGCAAGCAGTGCCCGTTGGACCTGCCCTGTGGATGCAGGCCCCAGGGGCTTCAACTCAGCACCAAATCCACAAAACCCAGGGAGCCTGGGTGGCGCATGTACCGCCGGCTGGGTACAGACCAACCCCAGCCCAGCCCAGCCCAGCCGGCCACCAGCCTGGCCCATGGGCGGTGACTCACCCCAGCCCAGCTCCGTGTGGCTCGTTCTGTCTGTGCCTATGAGCCTCTCTCTCACCTGACACAGCTGGTCCCTACCAGGCTGGACTCTCAGCAGTGGTAGCACTCAGGCCACATGCCTGGCACCCTGCACCAGCGGCCGCTGCCCGGTTCCTTTCCTCCCCCAGACCTGCCCTCAGCGCCCGGCGATCCCAGCCGGCACCTTGCAGGACAGAGCCCTTGTGACGCTGCAGATTCCAGCAACAGGGTCACTGCCGAGTCGCCAGCCGACGCCTGATTCACACTCTGCTCTGGATATTCAATAGCTGCTTTCCCCCGGCTTTCCGTCCCTTCAACGGAGGCTCCGTTACTTCTGATGTGAGGCTGAGTAAAAGCCATTCACTATAACTGAACAGTGCCTGGTCTGTCTGTCTGTCTGTCCGGACTAGGCTGTTGCTCTGTCTGAGGGAGAGAGGAAGCTGCTGCCGGGAAGGCAATGACTGGAAATCAACTCACTGGTGCTAAACTAGCCCCCACTAGCTCCCGTCCTCCCCTCAGCCCCGCTCCCCCCAGCTGATTCACCAGCAATTGGGCTCAGCCTGGGAAATGGAACCAGGCCTGTGGCACTTCCCCGGGGCTCGTCCACCCAAGGGTCTCATCCCCTCATTAATTAACGCAACCCTCACTGTGATAATTTCACCTGCCACTTAAATGCAGCCAGCTCTGGGGTGGAATGTGGCACCTGTTGAACAGCTCACAACAACACCACACAACAGTTTTAGGACAGGAAGTGAGAGAGACTATTGTTGGCAATTGCATTTGCAGTGGGGTGGGGGCAGAGTGGGATGACTTAGGGCCCCAGTGGAATGGAATAGACAATGATTATTGCTTTATTCCTGTTGCTCCCAGCATCTCCCAGGGGTACTGCTCACCCAGCTGGGGTGAATCCAGGGTGCTCTCCACCTGTCGTTTCACTGACGCCCTTGTTAGTTCACTAGGAACATGCAGGGTGTGCACTTCTGTTCTCCGTCTCATCTATCTCACTAGCATGCTGGGAAATGCCTGGGGCCTTAAGAGTTAATCACCAGAATCAATAATCATCTAGTCCAAAGGAATCGCACTAAACGCCTGACTCACGCACCAATGCTCAGTACTTTGTGCTCCCTCCCAACGTGCTTTGGCCCTGGCTGGAGGGGGAAGATCAGAACCGCTTAGCAGAGGAAGGCAGCAGCTGGCCAGCTGTTCAGGTGCCCTTTGCAGCAGAGAGCTGCATCTGAGAGGCCTGGATACGAGAGGCCTCGCTCCCTGCTTCCCCTGCTGTGCGACCGGTGCCGCCCAGCTGCAAAGGGGCGCATCCCTTAACGGCCACCATGCACCCTTGGTTTGGCTGGCGCGACCGGTCACCGCAGAGGATGTCGTACTTGTGGACAGTGATGCCAATATAAGCGTGTCGGGCCTGTACCTGGGAGCCTGTACCAGGAAAGACGCCTTCACCCAAACCCTCCTGTCATGCATCTGCTGGTGAACCTCCAGAGCCCCGCCCGGGCCCTCTTGCAAGATGACTGCCCCATAACAGAGCATCTCTGCTAACTAGGAGACTCCAAGACCCGAGATGGGCAGGTGGCCCTGACATCTTCTCTGCCTTTGCATTCCAAGCCGGGAAATGCAATACCCCCCTGGAGGCTGCGTGACAGAGCTCTTCGGTACCATGGAGCCCCTTGCCTGGGCCTCAGGCAGGATTTGTCCCGACCATCTACTCTTCATGGTTTTCCCTTGTCCTGTTCTGAATGACTCAAATGACGGGGCTCCCACCACTTCCTTTGGGAGACTGCGTCTGTCCACGTTTCGGATGCGCCGATTGCCTAGTACCTAGATGATACACTTGGCTTATCGAAAGGCACTGGCAGGGGACAGCCAGTTCTCCGCCCTTCCCTTGGTTTATCCCGCACATCCCACTGCTCGACAGACCCCACGCTAACCTGCGCCCTCCACTTTCCATTGCCTCATTCCCGCCTCCGGCCCACCCGGCTCCGTTCCTCTCCCCGCAGCAAGTGAGCGGAGGTGAGAGTTCATGCCGAGGGGTGATGCCAGCCCCAGCGCGGACTGCGCCGCAGGGCAGCAGGCCTGGCTGCACCATCCACCCGTAAAGGGGACTCCTGGGCACAGCTCATCCCAGGGCCCCCCAGTGCAGGAAGGGTCCCTGTGGCCTTGTTCCAGCCCTGCTGAGCACCGGCCCCGGCTCGCTGCTTCTCCAGCCGCAGCTCCAGCGCAGACCCTGCAGCAGGGATGCATGTGGCACCATTGCATCCCCTGCTGCCGCCCCCCCCTCCTCCTCCCCCCCGTCTCTCTCCCAGACTCCCTCGCTCTGTGCAAAGCACGTCACGGGGATACAGGCACCGCCGGGCACCGCGCGCTCCCTCTCCCCGGGCTGGTGGGCTGCAGCCCCGCACTGCGAGCGGCCGGGGGGAGCCATGCAACGCGCCGGGATGGCGGGGCGCGGCGCCCTGCCCCTGCCCCTGCTCTGCCTGGCGCTGGCCTCCGCCGCGGGCTCCGCGGCTCCCTTCTCCCCGCCGCTGGGGGACATCGGCGCCTGCCAGGAGCGCTGCGGCCACCCCCCAGGCGCAGCCCGGGTGAGTGCGGCGGGTCCGAGCCCGCC